ACCCAGCTTAAAAAAATAACATTATTTCCAAGTCATAATTAGCAATAAAGGCAGTTTTAATTTTACATTAGTTTTTCATCTTCATCAGTTCTTTCTCTGCTATCTGATCCAAAAAGTTGCAAAATAATTCTGACATGAAATTGGAAATATGTATATTTTTTGGTCTAACAAGGTTAAGTCAGGTCCTCTGGATGGATTCTAGGACCTGACTTAACCTTGTTAGATTTTTCTACCTGGATTATTGAGCAGCATCAGGATATTTTTTTAGATTGAGCTTTTTTTTTTATTGACTTTTTGTTGAAGCCAGGGATTTGTTTTATATTTCTCCAGCCCATAAAAGTATTTTAATGACCCAGCTTCATCACACAATAAAGACTTTATACTTTGCAGCTGCAATCAGAGCCCTTTGCTCTCTGAGCTCAGGTCTATATGAGGCTCTGAGTTTCTAAAAGTAGATATCTAATCCTCTGCTTTAAGTTTACAAGCTTTATGTTTCCAGCTCTGCTTTTAAGCTCAGAGGCTTAGAAGTGTCCTCGGTAAAAAACTTCTACCTCTCTGAGCCATTATTATTCTGTTATTTTAACAGATTTTTCATTATATATTTAAAAGCAAAACTGTTTCAGAGCTAAAACTGGTCCAACAGTTGAATCCCTCCATCAGCAGCTCTGCTTCGCTGGTTTTTACTGCAAGCATGCCAAACCCCTGCTGAGAAACTCTGGCTGAAACAGTCAGTAAACTGTACTTTAATTAAATAAATAAAGTAAAATAAAATAAAATATAACCCCAGTTCTGAAAAAGTTGGAACATTCTGTAAAGTGTAAATAAATACAGAATGGAATGATTTGCAAATCTCATTAACTCAGTTTATTTAGTGAAACATGTATCAGATGTTTAAACTTGAAATTGTTCAGTTTTTGGGAAAAAATAAAGTAATTTTAAGTTTGATGACAGCAACATATCCAAACTAGTTACAGGGAGACGTTTCCTGCTGTGAAGCCTTCGTCTTCTTTTAAAACCAGTCTGTAAATGACTGAGGGGACCAGCTCTGGAGGTTTTGAAGGGAATGTTGTCCAGTTTTTGTCTGATGGAGGACTCGAGCTGTTCAACAGTCCTGGATCTTTGCAGAACTTTTTGTTTCACGACGCATCAAATCAAATGTTTTCAAATGGTCTGGACTGCAGGCAGGACAGTTCACCACCTGGACACTTAAACCACCAAGTCTGTTCTAAAGGATGAGGTTTATTGTTGTCTTGCTGAAATAAGCAAGACCTTCACTAAAGAAGACCTCATCTCATCATTCTAAAACATGAACTTTTCTGCATTGACGGTACCTATCCAGCTGCATAAACTGTCTATTCCATAGGCACGCATGCACACCTATACCATGAGCGAGACAGGCTTTTGAACTGGACGTGTCCTCTGGAGTTTCCAAAAAGAATGTCAAGTTTTGATATGCCCGACTAGAGAACAATTTTAAACTTTGCCTTTTTTTTTATCCATTATGAACAAGCTTTGGTTCAGAGAAGATGGTGGTGTTCCTGGATTGTGTTCACGTCTGGTTTATTTTTTGTGTGATAGAACTTTAACCAGCCCATGGGAATGAAACGATGAGCTGTGTTTACTGGCAGTGATTTGTGGACGTGCTCCTGAGACTGTGCGGGGACATTTACATGCAGTTTTTCACAGATCCTCTGCCCATTACCTCTGAGGGACTCAGTCTATCTAAAATGCTCTTGTCCTCTTGCTGACCTGTTGCTAATGAACGTAATTAGTTTCAAAACGTTCCTCCAGCTGTTTCTTCTTCATACCACCTACTGTTAAAGCCTTTTGTTGCCCCTGTCTAATTTTTGGAGCTGTAATATTTCATTCAAATTCAAAATGATTCTCCTAAAAGTGGTAAAATGTCACTAACTTAAACATCTGCTACATTTATTATGTTCCACTGTGAATAAAATCTGGGATTATGGCATTTGCAAATAATGACATTCGGTTATTATTTACATTTGACACAAAGTCGCAACTGCTTCAGAATTGGAGTTGTAAAAGGAAAATGATATGCAGGCAAGCGTAAACATAGAAAGTATAGCAGTTAATCCAACAAAGTTCATCTGGATGGTTTCTTTTGTTTTGTTGAGACGTTTCGTCCTTCATCCAAAGGACTTCATCAGTCCGAGGAGCCACAACAAACTCGGTCCCACAAGCAGCACACTCGCATAGTGGACCAACCAGTTTGATGGTGATAAGATGGTTTCTGGGGCCCGCCCTCTCCCCTGTCAACTCTTCTGAGGCAGCCATTGCTAAAGTGGTTCAAAACATCAGATTTGGACTGATGAAGTCCTTTGGATGAAGGACGAAACATCTCAACAAAAAAATAAAACCGTCCAGATGACCTGACTGAACTTTGTTGGATTATTTACCTGGATTATTGAGCATGAACTTTGATATAGAAATTAATGTTTTACATGCAGTTTAAACATATTTAACTATTAAACAAGTCATAGATTAACTCAGCTTTGTTGAACAATTTGCTCTCATGACAGAATAAATGGATATTCTAAACTCATCTGACACTCTTAACATAATTATAAACATTATTTTACACAGAAGTATGTTTTAGTTTGCATAATTCATCATCACATGGAACTAAATGTTGACGTTTTAAAATAAATGTTAAATTCACAAACCATTAATGTTAGCTTGACTTGTTTACTTAAATCAAATAAGGTGGTCAGCAGTTGCCATGTGACACCAGCCGCTCACGTTGCCCAGCCTGTAGGCCCGTCTGCTCCCAGCAGAGCTAAATGAGGACGTTTAGAGAAGTAAAGCCGGATAAATCGTTCCAGACTGATCTCTGACGCCCAAGACCAGCAGCAAGGGGACGGTTGATGGGTGGGGACACCAGCAGAGGAGGGAGAAGTTTGGCTGATCTTTAAAGCTGACCATGTGACTGGAAATAAAGAGGATGCGGGGATTAGGAGGGAAGATATAAAAGCACAAATTAGACAAGGCGCGTCACTAAATTCACAAGAAGACAGAAGCAGCCGTGAGAAGAAGCCTTGAAGTTCTGAAAAGAAAGGTAGGAACCAACCGACGCTGCTGGAGCAATTTTTGATCCCAATACATGCTAGATAATTGGAGTAATTTGAAATATGAACAAGCAGAAGGATCAGTAGATACTGGATGATTGCAACTAAAGGTATATAGTAATGTTCTGCTGCATGCAGGATGTAACTGATGTTTTAGACTCATGGAAACGGTCTTAGCTGCTTTAAAAAGATGACCAGAAAGTTAAAGCGGTAGTCATCTGCATAGATTTGATGCTCAGGTTAAAGTGGAACGACCCGAGGTGAAACAGGTGGAAGTTTGGAAACACGGAGCTTCTCGACTAGAACGTCTCAGAACCGTGTTGGGGAGAGACTTTCCATTCCTCTCCTCGGGTATTTTAGATGAGTTCGATGACGCGTCCAACCCGGTTGTTGTCCACCTCAGAGCGCTCTAACAGGATTACCAGAGCCAGCAGTCAAACGTGGGGGGAGTGACGAGAAGAGCTCAGGTTCTTAGGAGGAGGAACTTTTTGTTCGAAGGGTCAGGGAGGAACAAAAACAGCTGCGGGATGTGTTTTGATGCAGCCGCTCTCTCCGTGTCAGAACTTCAGAAGATTCACAATAAAAGGAGATTCATCAAACGTCTGCTGCTCCACGGAGGCTGAAGAAGGGATGAAAATAATTGAGGTCAAGAATTAGGGTTGTTTTTCTGATGCATGTGCGAAGGGTAATTAATGGGCTGAGAATCAGAGTTGGATTAAAGCTAATCTGGCTGTTTAAACTAATCTGTGTAATCTCCACTGATTGGCATTAAGAGCTGGGAGGAGGCAGCAGGAGCCACAGGAAGGAAGGATACATTTAACAAGAAGCTATTTTCCTTTTCAGACTCATCAAAAATGAACGCCAGCCCTCCTGCAGGAAGCGCCCTGGCTCCTGGTGGAGCCACCGGCCCCACCACACCCAAGAAAGGCCCACCCAAGTTCAAACAGAGGCAGACTCGTACATTCAAGAGCAAGGCTCCCAAACCAGGCCAGAAGGGGTAAAAAACAATCCCAGTTTTTATTTACTGGATGCACATGTTCTTAAACCGACCAGACACTGACCTCTTTGTTTCCCTCTTTGGCAGCTTTGGGGACGATATCCCCGGCATGGAGGGTCTCGGCACAGACATCACAGTGGTGTGCCCATGGGAAGCCTTCGGCGACATGGAGCTGAGCGACTTGGCCAAATACGGCATCATTTAAACCTCCTGAACCTTTTCCTCTCATCCTGTTCATCTCAGCTCGGCTCGCCGCGATAAGGCCGCCGCTTTCCCCCTAACGCCCTCTTCTCTGTCTATCTCGCACTCTACTCCACTGTGTGGACATTATTTTTATATTATTATTATTATACAATACTGTTTACAGTATATAGACTTGAAACGAGAAGACGAGAAAATAAATCCACATCTCCTGATCCTTACCCACGTGAAGTAGCTCGCCCGACCTCTCTTCTCTCTGCCCGTCCCTGAAAACCTGCGGCGATGGAAGCCAAACTTTAGCTCAGGACCAGCTTGTATTTGCTTCTAGCTGTTTGTGAAAATGTAAATAATGTGTTCTCAGAAACGTCTTCCTTTTGTACTTCCCTCCTCTTTGATTCTGAATTTCTGCTCCTTACGATTGAAGTTGTAAACACCAAAAGGGATGCGAGAAACGCAACACTTCCACACTATCATGGAGGAGGAACTCCGGCTCCAGTTCTCCTCGCTGCTATCTGAACCCTCGTCTAAGAGAAAATAAAGACATGTACTGTTTGAGTTTGTGAGCATACTCTTATAGAGAATGTACTGCAAACTGTACTGATAGCTGCAGTAAAATGCGTCTATTTTTAGTATTTTGTTGGCCTCCTGTGTTTTTCTATCTAATAAGTGAGGTTTGAGTGAAGAATCAGTCTAAATCATAGCAGAAGCCAAATGCAGAATTATTATCTCCCACAGTCAAGACATAAGGGAAATTATGTTTTTCTTGTATCTGAATGTGTTAAAATCTGTCTGTTAGCAAAAATATAATTAACTGCTGGATGGTTTTTAATGACTCATATCTCATAAAACTATAACTGATCAACTTTTGGAGTCCCCTAAAGTCAAGATGGCCGCCACAGCTGATCAACATCACCGGGTTAGCCCTCAAATGGTTTAGATCCTACCTCTCCGACAGAACCTTTTGTGTCAACATCAAGGACTTTAGTTCAACATCGGCAGCTCTAATGTGGGGGGTACTGCAGGGGTCCATCCTCGGTCCTCTTCTCTTTTCTTTATACCCACTGCCATTAGGTACTATTTCTGTAAACATAGCATACCCTTTCATTTATTTGCCAATGACTGTCAAATTTACTTCCCTGTGAAGCACAGTGGTGCACCTTCTATTCAACCTCTTCTTGAGTGCCTGGCCGACATCAGGGACTAGATCTTTTTAAATTTCTTAAGCTTTAATGAGAAGAAGACTAAAGTCATGTTGTTTCCTCCTAATGGCATGATCAAGAACCACGGTATCAACCTCTCCTCTCTAGCCCCGTCAGAGAAACAAAGAGTCACAAATCTGGGAGTGATAATTCTTTTTCTTTTCTTTTTTTTCATTCAACCTTTATTTATACAGGTTTATCTCAATGAGCCTTGGGGATTCATTTACAAGAGAGCCCTGATTTTAACAAAGAACAATGACAACAGTGGACAACAAAGACAAAAATAGACAATCATAAAGGACATGCACAAATTGAGATTTTTATTAAACAAGTAAAAATAAAATGGTATTTAAAAGGAAAAGTAACAAAACAAACAGCTAGATTATAAGGCGGTGTAGAAAACTAAAAACAGGAACATGTCTGCATTGGTTTTTCTCTGTTTGAGAAGAACAGGTAATTTACAAAGGATATGTGTAAAATAGTAGAGTGGTATAGCATCTGGGCCATACTCCAATCCAAAAGGTGGCGGTAAAGCACCTAAAAGTTGTTTTCCAACCGCCATAAAAAGACAAGAAGAAGAAGAAGAAGAAGAGCTGTCCAAAGACATCAGAGACAAAACTGTAGACCTCCACAAGGCTGGAAAGAGCTATGGGGCAATTGCCAAGCAGCTTGGTGAAAAAAGATCAAGTGTTGGAGCAATTATTAGAAAATGGAAGAAGCTAAACATGACTGTCAATCTCCCTCGGACTGGGGCTCCATGCAAGATCTCACCTCGTGGCGTATCGATGATCCTAAGAAAGGTGAGGAATCAGCCCAGAACTACACGAGGGGAGCTGGTCGATGACCTGAAGAGAGCTGGCACCACTGTTTCCATGGTTACTGTGGGTAATACACTGACGTCATAGTTTAAAATCATGCATGGCACGGAAGGTTCCCCTGCTTAAATCAGCACACGTCCAGGCCCGTCTTAAGTTTGCCCATGACCATCTGGATGATCCAGAGGAGTCATGGGAGAAAGTTCTGTGGTCAGATGAGACCAGAATAGAACTTTTTGGTCTTGATTCCACTCGCCGTGTTTGGAGGACGAAGAATGATGAGTACCATCCCAAAATCACCATCCCTACTGTGAAGCATGGGGGTGGAAGCATCATGCTTTGGGGGTGTTTTTCTGCACATGGGACAGGACGACTACACTGTATTAAGGAGAGGATGACGGGGGCCATGTATTGAGAGATTTTGGGGAACAACCTCCTCCCCTCAGTGAGAGCATTGAAGATGAGTCATGGCTGGGTCTTCCAACATGACAATGACCCGAAGCTCACAGCCAGGAGAACCAAGGAGTGGCTCCGTAAGAAGCATATTAAGGTTCTGGAGTGGCCTAGCCAGTCTCCAGACCTAAACCCTATAGAAAATCTTTGGAGGGAGCTCAAACTCTGTGTTTCTCAGCGACAGCCCAGAAACCTGGCTGATCTAGAGAAGATCTGTGGAGGAATGGGCCAAAATCTCTGCTGCAGTGTGTGCACACCTGCTGAAACACTACAGGAAACCTTTGACCTCTGTAACTGCAAACAAAGGCTACTGTACCAAATATGAACATTGATTTTCACACGTGTTCAAATATTTATTTGCAGCAGTAACACACAAATAAATTATTTTTAAAAATCATGCATTGCGATTTCTGGATTTTTATTTTTTAGATTATGTCTCTCACAGTGGACATGCACCTAAAATGAAAACTTCAGACCCCTCCATGATTTCTAAGTGGGAGAACTTGTAAGTCGCAGTGTGTTCAAATACTTATTTTCCTCACAGTACATGGGTACAGACTGTGGTACGTCTCATTCTGCCACATCACAGCGATGCTCCACTGAAGGTCTTTTCTCTGCACCTCAGACAGTCCTGCAGAAAGCTGCAGCTTGTGATAATCAGCTGTTACGCTGCACATCGCCGTGCAGAAAGCAGCAGTTAGACACTGACTCACTGCGGTCATAAACAAGTGCATCTGGTCAGCAATAACTCCGGTGTAAAGTGGCATTTGAAGACTGCTGTTTATAAAATGAACTGAGAAGGACTTGCATCCTTTTTTTGGTTTAAATTCAATTAATTATCTGAATGGCCACTGAAACTTTGAGGTTTCATGTTAGTTGTTTAATGAAAGGTGAAGTTGATGGCTGTGTGTGTCGGTGGCAGAATAAAAATAAAATTTAATGTCACGTCTTTACTTTTAGCTGCAGCGTCGTCATGAAGACAACAAGACTGATCGCAGTCTGATACAAGGCCGCAGCCTTCTGGGACAAATGTGCTTATCCACTGATAAAAACCATCCTACCTGCAGCAGACATCTCACTCTGCGGGACTTTCACTTGCAATTAAATATGTTAGCTTGGCTCAAACAGCAGACCTTTTCCACCATCTCCACATACCCCTGCCCCGTCTGTCTGTTAGCAGAATATCTCATGACGAAATAAATGGATTTTATTGAAATCTTCAGAAAATATTTATTGGATGCACATCTGATAATGATTAACCTTTGGAGTAAACTCAATTTAATACGGTCACCACAGCTAATCTAATTTAGCAAACACAATCACGGCTATAACTCAGTCACTTGTACAGACACTGAGTTAAAACTGGGTGTCGTAGTAGCTGAGAGTCATCCCCAACACATGCTTTGAGCATTAACGGACTGGGCATATTGGTATTTTTTCAGCTTTACCAAAACAGCCACAATGTTGTTATTACTTGACAAAAGATGATTTTAGTGTAAAACTTTTGCATTAAAGTCGTCGAGCAATAAGCCTTCCTTTAATCAAGGCTCTGACTTTTTTCCCCTTCAAGTTTCTTTATAAGTTATAAAACTTAAACTTACTGGTTTAACAATATTAAGAAATATCACCACCAGAAAACTTTCTCCCGTTCCACTTAAACAACTGAAAACATAAAAGGCCGAAGACATCGGGGCGTATTGGTAGAGGGACTCCAGGTTCGGTTGGACACACCCTAATAGCGCTGAACTTGTGCAGGCACGAGCCGAAGAGTTTCATCCAGGATTATGAAAGACAGCACGTTGTGAGGATCTCCTAACGCAACGCCCCGAGGCCAGCCAACTGACTTCTAATGTTGTTGCTGTGATTTACCAGTAACCATGGCAACAGCAGCCCTGGCTCGGTGTCCCGGTGGCTCCAGGATGAGTCAGTAGGATTTACCTCAACACCCCTCTCTCCTGACGTCTCATGCACTCATCCCCGGCGCTCCGGTGCATGAGTTATCAGCACATTGGAGGCAAATTCTGATACTGGAAATAGAATTCAGAACCAGTGTGTGTGTGGAGGGGGGTAACTTTGCTGCCACCATCACTTCCAGGTGCGTGAGCCCCACCTATAATCGCAGGGAGGGACCCAAGCCGAGCAGGCGGAGGGGTGTGGGAACGAGTCGGGGTGCGACGTGAACACAAACCTGTTGTCAAGCCGTTTACTCTGACATCTTTGCTTTTCCACCGTCCTCACCTGGTTCTGTACTTCAACGACCGCAGAGCCTTCGTCAGAAGAGCCGCATGGCTGAGGAACGTCAACGCCACACTGTGGAGTAGTTCACATTCTGGGCCTGAAAGTACAAAAGGTAAGAGCTTTAAATAAAACGGTGTGCTCAGGATGATTCAGGTTTTTCTAAATGATTTAGGGAAAACTTCAGATCTGGATTGAAACGGAGCACAAAGATCCAGCGTGGCTCACTCTTAGCCTTAAATCAACTAATTTCTTGCGTTATTAAAGAAGTTAAAAACTATTTTTACAGCGTATCAATAAAAACTGTTATAGGAACGAAGATCTGTGTTGAGGAAAGTTTGTTTGCTCAGGACTGAAGTTGTTTAGAGGCCATCTTTGAGCCTCGGTCAGTGACAATCAGCTCATCTCTAATCTGAGCCGGACTGAATCTAAACCTCAAATTGTTTTCTCGTATTTCTCCTTCACGTTGCAGTTTGGAGGTCTGGCCCGCTCCTCTTTCCTGCTTTGTTCAGGCATGTTTTGAGCACTCCCTGCTCCTGCCCTCTCAGATAAACCTCCTCTTCCTCAGCCTTCGTCCTGCCATGCTCTCCTGTCACACTCCACCATTTAAACGTCTTCATGGATGTGTTTCCTTCACAGATTAAAGTAACAGACTGAATCCTCGTGGAGTTTTATGATCATAATGGCCTTTTCATGTACAAAGAACAGACTCTTCGTCCCCCTCCTCTTCCTCTTCTATGCCCCGCCCACCTGCCTGTGCCAGTTGACCAACAGCAGCGTTGTCAACCTCACAACCAGCAGCCCGACCACTTCCTCCAACGTCACCTCCCTACAGGGTGTGCGAGGCTGCGGCGCTGGTCTGAACCCGATCTACAGGTTCCTGTGTGACCGTCGGGCGGCGTGGGGGGTCGTCCTGGAGACCCTGGCCTCTGCAGGTTTCCTGTTCAGTGCCGGTCTCCTCCTGGGCCTCCTGCTCTGGACCTTGTGCACTTGGGTGTCGTCTCGGCAGCGGTGCACAAGAGGCTTCGGAGGCACGGTGCTCTGCACATCCCTGTTCCTGTTGGCCACGGCGGGGATCTTCGGCCTCGCCTTCTCCTTCATTGTCCGCCTCACCCCTCAGACCTGCCCCACCAGGATCTTCCTCTTCAACGTGCTCTTCTCCCTGGCCTTCTCCTGCCTGCTGGCTCGCTGCCTCGCTCTGCTGGGCTTCGGAGCCGCCCGCGACTGGGGGGAGCCCGCTGTGGCCCTGGGGCTCTTCACCGTGCAGGTCATCATCTCCACCCAGTGGCTCATCATCGTGCTGGTCCGGGACCAGAAACCTTGCGAGTACAGCCAGGAGGAGTTCGCCATGCTGCAGATCTACGTGCTGTGCCTCCTGGCCGTCGGTCTGCTCTTCTCCCTGCACTTCCTGTGCCGCTCTTGCTCCATGTACAGCTACGACTACACCGGGCCCATCAACCAGCAGTGGAGGATCCAGGCCTCGCTGCTCTTCGTCACACTGCTGCTCTCCTCCTGCATCTGGGGGGTCTGGATCACCATGCTGACCTGGGGAAACGTGAAGGTGGGCCGCCGGCCAGCCTGGGACGACCCAGTTCTGACCATCGCCTTGGTGGCCAACGGCTGGGTGTTACTCATGGGGCACGGACTGTCCCAGGTGGCCTCCTTCTGCAAAGGGGAGGGCACGGCCAAGGACACCCCTCTGAGCTTTGCAGGTTGGACCAGTCCTGACGCCGACATCCCTGGACTGGGGAGTCAGAAGGAAGGAAAGGAAAACGGGAGCTTCGAGAATGAAAGCGAGAACAAGAGAGGTGAGTTAAGAAGCACATAGTTTTGTTGCCAAATTAAGGATTACTTTTAAAATTGTGTAGAAAAAGAAAACTTGTCACATTTCACAGATTAGAAGACACGTCCACACTGTGTGACGGTCTCGTTTCATACTTGAAAGAGCTCGTCCTCTCTAACCTCTGCACCACCACTCCACTACCTTCAATCCTCAGACAACAAATTAAAACGAGACCTACTGAAAAAAGTGTAATAAGCTGATGAAACAAAATAAATGTTGGATAAATAAATATCCTATTATTCATCTCTTTACTCAAATAAGCCACTCTGAGAACACGAGAAGATTTTTAACCGGTCTTTTACTTGCAAAGGCAGATGGGTCACAGAAACAGTCTTTCATAGATGTGCAAAGTTACATGTTTAGAGCGTCGTCAGTGAGAATCTGCACCGGACAGTGAGGCGGGAAGTGTTTTTATAATCCTTATCAGACAGAGGCAGGTCGAGACGACCTCAGCTTCACAGCTTACAGACTTGGAGACGCCCTTGCTGTCATCAGGTGCACCTGCAGGCTCCTCTCTGAGAGGAAAAACAACTAACTCAGTGCTTTCTTTTAAGTGGGGGCCGTGGCCCCGGGGGCCTCAGAAAGCTGGAGAGAAGAAGATAAAAAAAGCTAAAATAAAAAAATAGTAATAATAATAATAATAATAAAAATTGCACACTAGGGCAATCTGTATCTGTCATTTCCAGATAAACACGCTCGAGAGCGAGGTTAGATTTCTTTTGTTTTGTTCTTCTGGTCAACAGTTTGTTGAAAAGTTGTTTTTATTTCAGTGGGACTATAATACAGTGTTAGTTAATAACATTACATATTTTGTAGCATTGTTTGTGAGTTTGCGAGAGGGGCCTCGGCCAGAAGCTATTGCTGTTTGGGAGCCATGGCATGGAAAAGTTTGTGAACCACTGCTCTAACTCACACATATTAATTTAACATTAGTTAGTGACAAACATCCATAAACCGTTGCCTAAATGCCCCTGACAATAAACACACGCACACACAAAATTAATCTCAAGTGTATTTTTTATTCCTATCGTTTACATGGAGGGGCGGGGCTTACAGCTACTGAGGTGCACTCACCTGTGTTGCTTCAACTTCCAGTCGTATTTTATTTTATGTCAATGATTCAAATCAGGAAATATTGAATGGATATTCATTAAATTCCAAAGATGGATTAAAGGAATAGTTGAGATTTTTTTAAATGTAATCAATACCTCATTAGATCGTTGTTCGTTTATAACGCGAGGCACGAGTGAAGACGAGCTCACAGCTAGTTTTAAAACGACGTCACTCAAACGTTTTAAAGTGGATCAGGCAGTCACTGGTTTTTAAATCTGTAGTTTGGGGTCACTTTTGCAACAGGTGATTATTTACATAAACGTTTGAGGTTATTCAGACTCAAGAGCAAGTCGACTGAAGTTTGTTACAAGTGAAGTTCATGAGAAACTCTTTGGAGCGTGCTCAAGTTTGAAAAATTAACCGGGCCGTCCGTACAGGTCACAACTCAGACTCAGAATCTAATATGGCAGACGCACGCATTAAATTTATTTATTTATTAACCTTTATTTAACCAGGCAAATCCCATTGAGAACACAGATCTCTTTAAATGCAGCAATAAATATTTTATTTAACTTCTGTCACTTTGTATCTCTTTAATTTAGTCCCACACAAAGTACTTCACACACTATTAGTTAATTTGTCATTATGAGGTTAAATGCCTAAAGTGCAGAGAAATTCATCGTCATTAGCTTGTAATGCTAACGGTAGTTAGCCTGTTTACCGAGCACAGAAATGAGCCAATTGTTTTCTGACTCGCAGCTGGAACATGGTTAAACGTAGAGTCGAGTCGACAGTGAAGTGACGTCTTGTCAAAAAGTTAGAAGTTATCTGCCGTGACATCAGTCATGGATCACGGAGTTTGGAGAAAGAGATAAAACATCACATATTCAAATCTCCTCTGATAACTCAGCGGGCGGAAACGTTCAGCAGCATCAGATACGCCGCCGAGTCTCAGCATTTGGATAGAAACACGGATTTAACTGAGAAAAAAAAAGAACAAACTAAAGAAATAATGAACGGAGTCATGCAAACGTGTAGGTTAATGTTAGCTAATGTAGCATTTGTTCACATGGTGTGTTGTTTTTGAGAAAGACGTGTTTTAAAGACCTGAAAACTGATTAAAAAAAAACCAGGTTCTCGTTTTGCTAGCTGATAGCCATGGCTGGACAAAGATTTTTGTTCCTTTCTCTCTAAACTCTGATTCATGACTCGTGTCCCGGTGGATTAATGTCAGCCAGAACAGCCCTTGATGTCTCATTCCCAGTAACGAGTAATAACCACCGAGGTCAACAAAACACAGCAAATGGTGAAACAGAGAAGACATTACGTTAAGCAGGAACTGAACAGGAAACTATGCGATGCAAAACTAATCTGGCATAAAAAAAATATTTAAAAAATCATTAAAGCTGAACTCCATTTCACGCATTTTTCCATCAGGTTTACTTGGATTAAAACATTTGAGCTTGCAGCCCGTGTTTCACACGGACCATTATTGGTGACGGTCCGCAGATGACTGTGCATAAATAACCAAAACCTTCTATGTAACTAAATATGTAATGTGGAAACAATGATATACATTTTTATAAAATTTATTTAGCATTGAGGTTGGATCGTTTAAAGCAGCAATCTTTGATCATTGCCTCACTCAGACTAGCGGTCTGCTCGTCTCCGTCGAGAAAACTGCAGGTAAGATATTGATTACTAAAAAACCTACAGAACAAAACTTAATAAATGCAGACCAATTCTTTAAATATGTTTATGAAAAGAAACTAATAAAACTCTTTGGTTTTGCCTTATAAAAGGTGAAACCAGTCAGTTAACTAAACTAAACTCACAGCTTGAACACTTTGTTACAACACAAAGTCCTGCACCAAAAATATTTTATAAGAATCTTTTTTACTCTGATATTTGGTTTAGACGGAACAGATTTAAAAGTCAAGCTAATACCAGTAATTATTTTAAAGGGAAACATGCTGCAGATTTCAGTCAGCACCATTCTAGAAAGTGACACCATCAAAACTTTTCATTACAAATCTTAAAGTCGGCGATTTAGACGATGCGATGATTAAACATCCCCCAGTCCACTCGCTCCAGAAAGAAGCAAACCTTCACATAAGCAAAGAGTTATGCTTAAAAGAGAAAACCATCAAATGAAATGTTAAAATCCTGGATTAAATAAATGGGATTAAATGGATCGTGTAGAAACTGGTATTTTAAATTTAGACATCATTAAGACGTGTAGACATCATACCTGGTCAAACAATTTAATCTTCAAAACAAAATGTGTGTGTTAATGTGGCCAGTACACGACTCTGACTACGAAACAGCTCAAATTGATAGAAGTTATGTACAACGGGAAAGGCAGGGAATTACTACATTGTGTCTTCTATTAGATAATGTGGGACTTATTGATTTTGAAACTATGTCAGAAAGATATGTCTTAGGTCGACAGGACTTTTATAGATACCTTCAGCTCCGTCATTTTTATGTGGAAAATATTAAAAAACCTTCCTTTAGATCATCAATTACCAAAATGTTTATTAAGGCTTACAAATCAAAAGGACTTAAGAAAATAACTGGAGCACTTTACTGAAGTTTAAGTAAATTAAAGGGTAATTCCACACATGATGTTAAAGAGAAATGGGAGAAAGAGCTGGGGATTAGTATTACATCCGAGGAATGGGAACCTATAATTGAAACGCAACATACCACTACAAATTCACAAACATGGAGAGATTTCTCTTGGAAAAATTGTATCAGATATTTTCAAACCCCAAAACAGGTATGTAAACAGACTGGTCTTCCACCTGTGTGTTGGTGGGGATGTGGTCATTGCCCTGCTGACCACTACCATATTTTTGGGGGGTGTCCTATCCTTAGGCCATTCTGGGAGTGTGTTTGCCAGACTGTCGGAGAGGTTTGGGGTTATGATATTGAATTTACATGCTTATTTTTTTATTTGGGAAGTATGGACCCAAATATACCCAAAGCTGATAGATATCTCCTAAAAATCATGATGACGCAAGCAAGAAAGCTATAACTAAGCGATGGTTTGGTGCAGACCCCCACCGACTATAAAACAGTGGATGGACATTGTTAATAATATTCGGAGCATTTGACCTTTAAATTAAGATTACAAGAAGAAAAAGGGAAGGCTTTTTGGGAAAAATGGGACACACTTTATGGTAAGAGATGACAATCTATCATTAATTTAGTGTCCTTGGTTTCTAAGATTTCTTGTTTAATCCCAAAATGTTTTACCTGATGTGAATATACCCCCCCCCCCCTTTTTTTTCTTTATTATTATTATTTCATTATTATTTTTATTTATTTTTTCTTCCTTTTACTATTTTGTTGCTTTATAATGTAAAATGTTTTGGAGAGAAAAAATAAAAAAAGAAAGATTTGATTAAATAGATGGGATTAAATGGAACGTGTATAAACTGGTATTTTAAATTTAGACATCATCAACGCTAATGTTCATTTGTGAAAGAGTTAGAAAATCTATCAGGTCAACAATGAAACGTTTGCCTGAAAAGCTCCGGTAGAATTAGAGCACACACACGTTTGTTTCCTCACGCAGTCAGAATGATACTCTGTGGTAGATTGAACTCTGTCCTAAAGCCTTTGGGACTCATTTGTATTTTATTAGCAGCAAACTGTTTAATTGTGCTGCTTCTGAACACCACGGTTCCTTCTAAAAACAGTTCCGCTCTAAAATATATTTTTTATCTTCTCAGCCCACTCCATTGGCAGAATAAATGCTGCTCTCTGTGGGTCTTCACGGCTAACCGCTAATCTAATAACGACTTGCTCATTAACCGTCTGTGATGTCTCCCTCCAGGCCGGAGAGCTGATCCAGCGCTGCGATCCCCCTACGAGTCCGGCTTCTCCATGACGGTGAGTCTCCACGCGCCTCTGTGGTTTCACGCCACGACCTTTGACCTCTGCAGCTCACAGAGTCATAATTTAGCAGGCCTAATGAGAGGTGATCACGGATAATAACCTCAGAGCCACAATCAACGGATCCCTTTGTGTTTCAGGAAATCGACCCTGACAAAGACTACACCATCCCTCGCCCTCAGACCACCAACTACAACGAGCCGTACGACGAATATTACAAACACGAATAAAATCCCATCGTTTGTTTGACATCGCACAAACCTACGGCGAAGCCAGAGGGAGGAGCACTTGTGAAGTTGCTCATGTAAATATTGTTTGGGTGTATAAACGTTCACATGTAAGATCCTCAGGTCCAGTTCATTAAACCCGTTTGGAGTTGGAGCCCTCCATGTGGCAAAGTGTCAGGTGTCTCGGTGTGTGTGCACTTGGTGCTCCACAGAGATGAATATTAGTGCCGAGGGGGTGGAGGAGGTGTGAAGCTGCCTGGAGGTGCCAAACAGCTGAGCAGGGGCGTTGTGAGATAAAAGATGAGGTGAGGTCGGAGAGGACGACGAGATGAGACAGGTGGAGGACGGGGAGCGTGTCCGTGATGTGGGACAGCCTGTGCCATCACTCATTAATGTCCCTTTTACAACTAAACAGCTCCGTTGTTCTGTTCTCTGACACACGAAGGAAAAAACCGATGCCGTTATTCAACTAGTTTTTTAACAACAAAACCAATAACTCCAGTTCAAGAATGATTAAACATTTCCACTTTTCAGTTCTAGTGTTTGTTTATTTCACGTCAGGACATAAGACTGAGCGGGTCTTTACCAGGTTCTGAAATGATTCATATTTAAACCCGAGTGTACACCAGACCCCACCATGTTACTTGTAATAAATTTAAATTAAAGCAAAATTCAATAACTCTGAAAACCCAAGTTCACTCCTTGTGTTTCCACAGAATGTTAAGAGAACATAACCTGGAGCTGCTGATTAAATATATTGATTATCTGATCATCATCAGTGCGATTACTTCTACAAAAGCAAATGTCTGTTTGCTGCTCTTAACACGACGCCAAGATGGAAAGACATCAGCAATTAGCTTAGAGAAGCTACTGCTCATCAAGCTACAATTAGATTTTTTTTAAAAATAAGAGGCAAAGATTTAAAACAGCTGCCAGTTTTTCCAAGAGTGAATATCTTAGCAAACTCACCCCAAGGTCAGACTGTGTAATGCTTGGAGTAATGACAAAAATCAGCGAGCGCTCCATCTCAGGCCTCAGTTAGTAGGTAGAAGGTCATCTGGAAGGGTTGCCTTCTTTCTGTAAAGAACATGGCTGCACAGCCTAGTTCCTTCTGAATGAACCATTTGAAACAATGTGCTTTGGACAAATCAGACATTTACCCAGAATGCACAGCTTCATTAAAAACAAACAGATCAGTCCCAAGCACAACAGTGGAGGGCTGATGATTTGGACCTTGAGGTCGTTGAACATGAACTTCTCTGTGAGCTGCAGCTCGGACCAAACACAGCTGACAAGCTAAGAAAAGGTCTGAAAAAGGAAAGAATGAAGGGGTTGCAGTGGTCCAGTAAAGGTCCAGACTTGGACCTGACCAAAATGATGTGGTGGGACCTCCAAAGAGTTGTGCAGAAACCAAAAGCCGTGTTGTGAAGATCAGGAAAACGTTCCTCCCCAACCATGTGAGAAACTGAAAGTGGTTCATAAAACAACTACTGAGTTAAATGTTGCTGCGAGCTGCTGATCATGGAGGAGCATCATCTTCATCAGCTTCTCCATTTGACTTTGTTTTGGTTTAATAAATAAAGACCAGGTTGAATGTGTTGTTGTGTGCCTGAAGTTAAATTACTTATTGTAGACTTTATATATTTTTCAATTATGTTCTGAAATGTAAAATCCCATTAATGAGTTGGACTTTTCCACCATGACTGTACTTCCAGCTGAGCTGCAGTGTCACAGTTTGACCACAAGAGGGCAACATCTGGATGTATTAAACAGCTGCATCAGCGCTGAAGCAGCTTCACTTGGTCCATCCTATCATTTAGTTAAAAGCGTGAAGTCTGTGATGGGGTGAGAGGGTTCAGATTATTTTTATGTCCTCGGCTGTGGCCTGAAGTGACCCGACATCCAAAGGTCGGCCTTCGTCTTCACCCCCCCCCCCCCACCCCCGTCTTCAATCTTTTCTTCCAATTATCAAAACTTCAATTACTCAGAAAGAGCGTGCTGTCAAATTGGCAATTGGCCTCTTGTGCATTAGAGCAATTAGCAGGGATATGAGGTTTCCTGCCTCATTCAGACCATTTACTGCCCATTAGCTCCTCGTGCAATTAAAGCCTGCTCCAGATTGTTCCCCTCTAGGCTGCCATGAGGAAGTTTGGAGGTGCTGAAGCTTATCGTGCAGAGCAAGAGTCAGGGATTAGCTGCACTGTACGGGCCGGCTGAGATGTTTTAATCGAGTGCAATCGCAGCTTCCATCAATCATTCGATTTGCACAAGCTGACGTACCACCGAGGAGGGAAACTTTCTGGTCGTTATCAAAATTTAGCAACAGTCTGTTTAACCTCACAGCCGCATTTAATCAAAACCTGTTTTATCTCTTCCGTCTTTTGGAGTTAAGAGTTAGACAAACACCGAGCAGGAACGATAAGCTCGGGACACAATGTTAGAAAAAGACCGACTCCAGCTCCAGAACATTATCTGAGCGTACGTCACATGGCCTCGTGGTAAAAACAACTCTGCACCTGTGAACAGACACACCAAAGACCAGGATAAAAACCAAACAGTTTATTTATTATATACATTCAATAATAATGAAGAGAATAAACATAAGGCAGACACAAGGATGGCAAAGTAAAACATGAGATAATACACTTATTTACTGTCACTTTAAAAATAAAAAAAAATCTTTTGGATAAATGAGTTTTTTGGAGCATGTGACAGAACAAAAACCTCCACATGCAGTTCAAACCCATTTAATAATTGCTGTACAAAACCTCCAACAGGGCGGATTGGAGCCCACGGCAGAGCGGAGGAGGACATTTCTTGGTGTCCTTCGTCCCAACCTTTGCGGCTGGTTGGCAGCTGCCCCCCCCCCCCCCCCCAATACAATTTGCTCCAATTAGCAGAGAAGAAAACATGCACGTGTGTCGCGCCGCTGCGCTGATTGTTGCTGCTAAATCAAGGTTACATCATCAGAAAACAAGCCTTTGCTACACGAGGAGCTCGTCTACATGATCGCTTTGAGTTCTCAACATCAGAGGAAACCACGGAGGTCCAGATAATCACAAACTCCAGACGTCTCTTATGAGGGGTGATCGCCATGGCAACCACAGAGGCAGAGCAGAAATAACACGGATTACTGCAGAGGGCCGACTTCTCTTCACACTGGACCTTTAATAACCTTCCACACACGTCACATGGAAAAAGCTCTCTCCTCTTCCTACTAGCCTCCCATATACCCCCCCCCCCCCCCCCCAGCACTGATTTGAATTCATGCACAAAAAATTTTAAATAAAAGACTGACACCCTTCCACTTCTTGCAAAAAAACATGCATAGCAACACTGCTGATAATACTTATAAGGAACATTTAGATAAAAAAAGAGGTAACGCTCATCGAAAATACTCATTGGACCTACTGCACACGGTTTCACCACCATACACAACACCCCCCCCCCCCTCCTCATGCTGGCTGTACCCCCCAACAGACAGCGGGGGGATGATGTTATTCTGTCAGCTAATGATTAATGGCTCAGCTTCTCACCTTCACTACGGTTCCCCCCCTCCCCTGCCAACCACCCACACATTATTTCAACGTTCAGAAGGCGCCCACTGCTGGGCCCCTTTTAGTGGACACCCTGTCTAATTTGTCCCTGCTGAGAAAAAACAAACCAAGTGTCCTCTTGTTTCTACCTGCTTCTGCTCAGATTTCCTTTGTCTCCAGCAAACCAGCCTCCTCGTCTACACCGTGTTCGTGTAAGGGAAGAAGGAGAGCGTCAATAAATTAAGAGCGTGAAGCTAATTAAATGTAACAACGTTACGTTTGCGAGTCAGACATTCCCAATTGGCTGCGACCTTTTCTGCAGATGCTGCTTCAGTGACATTTCCCCAAGGAGCTGCTACACTGCACTATAAAAAAAAATAACAGCAACAAATAGAAATACTGCAAAAAATAAGAAATGCATACGGATATTTGGATCAAAAAGAGGCAAATAGCAAAAGCGTAGTAACACAAATAGGTCTGATGTAGCTGGAACCTTCAGGTAAAAGTTTAAAACTATTCAGAGCAACCCGTAAGAGCACAATGACATTTAAACTACAAAAAGGCTGCAGAGAACTCTGATAGAGAACTCATAATGAAATCTCCACTTTCATCGTATCGCTGCACCCCCTACATGCCCCATTTGTCCACTACTGGAATGTCTTGACGGTTTAGGAGAAAGAAATGTTCAGAGTATTTTATTTTTTTAAAGCAAGAGGGAGTGCACTGAATTATTGAAGGTTCCTGCAGCTGTTCAGATGTCTGAAATAGTCCGCGGAACAAACTCAATCTGGGTTCAGTTGTAGAAAACAACAGCGTCTGAAAGATACATTTGTTTTAGCGTGGCAGTAAAAAAACTGAGGTAATGACAGAAGAAACGTTTGCTTTCCTCATCATCTCTATTGTTTTAAAGCGTGAAATATTTTGTTCCCTTGCGACACATACGGGATGAAAAAGAGCAAAGATAATCCGGTGGAGTCCAGGTTAGTTAACGGAACGAACGTTTCTGTCAGCGACAAGTTTCAGCTCAACCAAATAATCAAACTTTCGGAAATAAAACCTAATAAAATAAAATATTCCTATTTCTTCTGTACTAAGCATTCCTTTGTATTATTGTTTACATGGAACATAATTGTGTAGTTGATTGACGTTTTAGTGTTTAAAAACAGAAGTACCTTTTTACAGTAGTGTTCTAGCAGTTCTATCAGTAGAACGTTGGAGGAAAAGAGAGGAAACCATAGAGTGGGAGCTGAATGTAACTGTGTCTGTACAGGTCGGATTACAGGAAGTTCATATACTGGGTGATGGGACTCTGAGAGGGAAAGGTTTGCAGTGTGCTGGATCACACAGGAAGATCAGTCTCTCTCCTCCCGGCTCCCATAGTGTTTTTTTTTAATCCTACTCCTCAGTTCAACGCAGTAGACTCCAGAGTTTCATGTCAGAGACTCTCCTGGCGTTTCTTTCCTTCTTTGATTCCATGTCAGCGACAGACAGAAGAGTACAGACGGAGTTGGACTTGATGATGTGGCAATGGCTCTTCTCGCCACCAAAAAAAAAACAAAACTAAACAAAAAAATAAAAATAAAAAACCCACATGAGTTGTCACTAGAGTCTGCCTGCAGGAAAATGGAGGGGAGCTCCTGCCAAGTACTGAGCAGGAGCAGAAGGGGGTTTGGAGCAAAAAGAAATTCCTCGGGTGTGGTTTGGGGTTTTAGTACGGAGCAAACCGACTGTATCCTGCTCGATATAAACTGGCCTGAAAAACAGAGAAATACAATTAGATCTTTGCACAGGTGCCAAATGAACTGTTGTATAAAATGTAATAAATGTATTTATTATAAGTTCCATCTACAGCAACGTGCAGTACTTTGGTGAAGACGAGTCCAAAAAGTCAAAGTTTAGCTTGAAACGTGTTCGCGGCGCTCCTGACAAATGACTCACCATGGCTCCAACTCCGTAAGCAGCAGCAGCTGGAGCTAAAGCATGGTACGGGTCTGTGGTGTACACTCGGCCGTAACTACAAACACAAGAATGTCCAGTTAAAACATGGATCGTTTTACATGATTAAAGCACATTTTACACAGAGAATAAAACTTTGATAACTCCTGTTGAACTATTTGTTGAAAATAATCTGGAGAACATTGTGGCTTATATTCTGGACGATCTGAGAGGGGGTGGAGGAAGTAATATACAGACCCTTTCAAAAAAATTTAAATACCATGGAAAAGTTGTTTAACTTGCATAATTCCATTCAAAAAGTTAATCTTTAATAGATGATAGATTCAGGGCCCACAATTTAAATGATTTCAAGTATTTATTTGTTTATTTTTACATAATTTGGGCTTCCAGCTCATGAAACCCACGCTGCTGTTTGCACTTGGTAGTAAGTATAGATTACTACGTAAATGTGGTTTTCAAATAGTGCTTGTATGTAAACATTATGAGATATTTTTTTAAACTCCAGTTGTTTAAAGACAGAGCAGTCAACATCAACTCACTCATTAATCTGCTTATAATTAAACTATTATTCCAAACAGAGGTTCTTCAAAGAGCTTTTAACAATAACATCCTGCTTCAAGATGTTCAAACTCCCCCTTTAATAATCATTCAAACTGCGCAGTAGAATAAATACAGATCCCGTTAATGATTTTAACCAAGACACAGAGTTGTGCTGCTAAAATGATGACCGTCATCACACTTCTGATAAATCAGCACGGTGCTTCCTGTTTCAGAACATCAGTCCTGAGGCCTTCGACTGGTTTCCAGAGGATCAGTTCTGTCCATCAGGGATATGTGTAAACACTGGTGTGTGTTTGTGAGCATTTATCAGTGCGTGTCCTGGGTTGGCCTCACCTGTCACTGTACGCGGCTGCTGCGGCGGTTGCTCCGGTTACGGCTGCAGGCTGAGCGTAGCGATAGGCAGCAGCAGCGGCAGCAGCAGCAGGGTAGCCTCCCTGGAGACAGATACACACACACACACGTACACACACAACTAACTGGCATGTTTCAAGTGGACAAACTTTACAATTAACAAATATCTGCGTCAAAAACGACTTTAAATTTACTTCAGGGTATCAAAACATACAGCTTTGACTACGCTCACGGAAAAAAAACGTGTTGGTGTATTACATGTGGATGAGGACAGGAGGAGTGTGATGTTGGATGTGGGATTTCATCAGTGAGACAGAGAGGAAATTAAACTGTCAGAGTTACTGTATTACCACTAGATGAGTAGAGGGAAGTAAAAACAGGGGATGACAAAATGTTCACTAAGGTGAGAACATAAAAAACTATTGATGAGACAGAATACAACGCCTACAGTCTGAGCACACTAATGGATGCTGGAGCTGAAATGCTCCTTTGCTCACAGACAGTTCAACACATTTGTTATTACAATTATCTGTTTTTAAAATGAAGTGAGAGAGAAAAAACGAGGGAAAGAAGTCGCACACGAACACATCCACACAGTCTAGACTGGACACTAAAATCATCTCCTCGCACTGAGACTACATGCGTGACCCAAAAAACAAACACACCACCCCACTGCATTTGAACCTGACGTGAATAGAGATCAGCAAAGCACAACAGAAACACCCGAGCGCTCTCTGAGATGCCTGCAGGACACGGAGCAGAGGGGGAGGAGCGGGAAACAAGGTTATTTATGGGAGAAAGCGACGCTCTGCGGGTGAGTGCAGGGAAAAGGAGGATGAGGAGCAGTAATACGGTTTGTCTGCATGCAGCAGCTGATCAGCACATGCTTCACTTATTATCTGAGGAAGGCCAGTTAATACAGGAAGAGAGCATGTTCTCCATTTCAACTAGAGCCCCTCAAGGGAGACGGCTTTAAGAGCATCCCACGCTGCTGAATTCAAAACCTTACACATAAAAAAAGAAATATTTTAAGATACAGTTACAACCAACAGGGTTGCATCAGATTTTGATGGCAAATGCAATTAATGCTTTGATTTTTATGCAAATAAGGTTGAAATGTACAAACCACTCCAGTTTAAAGAACATTTGTTACAGCAGAACTGGGATATTTTCTGCAGCAGTTTTTGTGACAAAAAGCCTGAATAATTTTAATTTGTGCAACCCTAACAAAACACACCGACTGACGTCCTATAGTAAAGTTCACCAAGGTTGGAAATAAAAAACAAAGACCCTACAAATATTGCTCACTTCTAAGTCAGGATATTTTTCTGATCGTTTAAATTTGATATTTTTTGCAATGCAGAAAAGTCTTTTTTTCAACTTTTTTTTTTTTGGCAGAGCTTTTTTTTACTTCAACCCAAAACTCATAAGTCTTGGACTATTTTTTATTTATTTTTGCAGGAAGCTTGTAAAAAAAGCAGTGATCGTTATTACACTACCTGAATGCAGCTGCACTTTATAAAAATGCAATAAATATTTACAGACAGGTGTTGCATGAGTTCCAGCAAATTATGCAGAAGTATGCGCCTGACGGACAACATAATTACACTCACTGGGTTTGGCTAAGAACATGTAATTAGCATCATCTGTCTCCAGAACACTGACAAAAAATCTATTTACACATATTTTTCATCGTATTTGACCTTTTCTATACAAGCACGGACTGAAGCTTTAACTAAGAACCTTCAATATACTAGAATTATGAAATAATATTACCTTCAAAAAGGTTCTGTAAGAATAGTGTTTTAGATTATTAGTATGTGTGCAAATAATAAAGGAGCCTCACAGCTTTATAACTTAAAATACACTCGTTTAACGTTGTGATTCATCCTATATTATATCTTAAACATGTTCTACATTTAAACAAACATTTTAAATGAAGGATCGGTTCACATTATCCTACAGAAAAGGAGACAAGACACTTTAGTTAGGAGAGCATGCATCAGGATATTTAGTTAGGAGACTACTAAAGTTGTCTCTTGTTATTTAGTTATTATTTAGTTATCTAGACTACACTAATCAAGATAACTAAAGGCATTTTTAAAAAGTCTGAAAAGGCTTGAGCCTTGGCTCAGGCAGCATTACAACCCGACTGATATATTGATAGGATCGATATTTTAGGTCGATATGGGTGTTTGGAGACCTCTTGGTATCAGTGATAACTGTCCAATGTAAGGACTTTTATGCTGGGAACAAGCCGTAATTGCACAATGTATCCAGCAGAGGGTGCATAAAGACTACTTTCAAGTCACTGCCGTTCACTTAAGTTTCACTTTCACATCCAGCACAGAAGAAGCAGGGAGCAATACTGTAGCATATTTTACTGAAAGTTTATTTGAACTGATCTGTAAAACAAATCAACAATAATAAATTCTCTTCAATCCTGCAACCTGCTTGTCATTAGCTACGTGCCTCTCAAGTCAGCAAGCTAACGTTTAGATAGTCTAGCATATGCTACTGCTTTGTAAACTTTATCCAGAACAATAAATCTAACGTAAATATATATCAGTGATAGTAACGTTATCTTTGTCAGCAATGAAATGCTTTGTCTCGGATTCATTCAACCTTTATTTATACAGGTTAATCCCATTGTGAAATCTCAACTTCTCTGCAAAGAAATAATAAAAATTAAAAATGCTGCTGCAGTCGATACTAATTAGGCCTTCACCATACGTGACTGACTGTTTAGACACGAATGTTTAATATATATTTATGTAACACACTTGATAACTTTAAGTTGAATAACGGAGGATAGAAAATGTGAACACAAGTTAGGAAGACTGTTTTAATGACCAGTGCATCCCTTGCAAACCTGCTATGGGACTAAACGTAGCGTGGATCCGATTAGCTTAGCTTCATGGTTGCCAACAGCTGTGCTAAATAAACAAGCGCCGCTTCACTCACTGTTTACTAAGATTCTTAGGGGTGGACAAAGCTTAAAGATTTTCAGTCATTAAATCGTTATCGGCGGCTGCCTTGCCCTCCCAATATCTGTATCGTGATACACAAAATTACAGCTAAACGTTAGACATTTCATCAAGGTAAGAACTACTTGAAATAACAAAAGTCAACACCCAGAGATAATTTATCTGAGGTATATTTTTTTAATTTAACCAACAGCACAGTCTTGTTAAATTTACATAAAGGATGCAAGATTAAAAATTTCTACTGGAGCCAGCCCACAAGAAAGTTGATCATGTTCAGGCTTCAACTTCAGGGTCAATGTCAGATGTCTAGTCAAATAGACTTTGGTTTCCCCCGTACAAAATGTTTTTCAGACCACAGTGCACAGGCTTGCTCCATCACAAGGCTACATATTTTAAAGCAGTAAAGAGCAACATCAGATGCTTGATTAAGACATATTTATATGACTTAGGCTCATTTTGTTAACATCAGCAGGTTTAGCAGGACTGCATTCTACATTGTAAACGTAACTTCTTGTCTTGGATGTAAATATCTCCATCAAATGCCCACCTAATACAGAAAATGTTAATCCATTCTATTAAATATTTGGTGAATAAAAAAACAACAAGCAAAAATATCCCAGAAAGAATTGACTGAGGCAGAGATTTACTTGTCTGTTTTAATTTCCTCTGTTGGGTTCTTGATGCTACTTTATTACCAGGAAATTATAGTTGGTTAAATACCAACTACTTACATCCAACATGTACTGGTTGGATGTAAGTCTTATAAAGTTTATTTCTCTGAGCAGAATTAGATTTATTGTTAGCTTCTAAAAGTATACAATGATTAGGGTTGGGCATCGTTTGAATGTGAACAATTCTGGTTCTGATTCAATGTTTTGATTCTCGGTTCAGATTCTTTTTAAAGGTGGGTAAAAAAAAAAAAAAGTTTTCATGTTATAAACGAGATATGTAGCCAGAGTTCTTTCCAGATGAAATAATTTGAATTTCTATTGGAATTTTAATTCTATGAACTTTTACTTTTTATTCACTTTACGCGGCGGGCGGCTTCTTCTTCCGGTCGGCGAACTAGGCATCGAAAGTAGGAATCGAAAATTAAAAAATTTGAACGATCCCGGGATAACCGGAACGTTAGTCCCGGTTCCAATCGATTCTCGAGACTCGATGCCCAACCCTAACAACCATAGTATCAAAGCTGGGAAATGTAGCAAATCATTAAGTCAATATAAAAGTTTCAAAAGTCACAAAAACAAGCAGAAAAAGCCCAAACTGCCATCATATCAGTGACTCTGATAAGAGTCTGCAAACATCTGACTATAAATGCAGGCATGTAGTCACTTTTGCCAGCAAGAAAATCACATAAACATTTTTATCCCAGACTAAACCAACCAGAAAAGAGAGACCAGGTTCTCTTTGGAAGAAGGCTGAAGAGGAAACATCTTAGGAACACAGTTTAGTAGTTTAGTGAACAAACACGTTTTTCCCCCCACAACTAAAAATAAATTGTGAGTTAGTAGAAAAACAAAGCAAACTTGGAAGCAGCTGTAATTCTTTTTAAAACATCTAAAAGACGACATGTTCCAGATCGGACCAGGAGATGATTCGTAAGATCAGAGGAGGTAAAGCAATGCACACTGTGGGTTTGGTGGTGAGTTGACCCTACCTGAGACAATCTGGGACTAAGGACTGAGTCCTGAAACACTAGTCTACAGAGAAAACAGAAACAACTGTTGTCAACCTGGATACACACACGCGCATACACACACAGATACACGCTGCCTCATCCGCCTACAGAGCAACCTTCATAGTGGTGTTTCCTATCGTGCATTTTTATTCAGCTCATATAGTTTTAAAACTGCTGATGCAAAAATAATAATATTGCAAGCAAAAATAATCCTTGGGCATAAATCACCTAATATAAACAGTCCTGTGCAAATTTGCGGTGCATCTAAAGATCAGTTCACCATTCTGCAGGCAGCTCTGTGCAGCGCATGACTGGATGCACATGCAGAATCACCCCCAGAGGAGAAACGAAGCTGTGAGGGGAGGGACAGAGATGTTGTGTTGGTTGCAGGTGAATTTACTTACATATAACTCTGCAGCTCCATAAAACCCATCCTGATACACCACGCTGAGAGCAGGGGGAACACAGAGGAGAGGGGGGGGTGCAAACGGGGTGGTGCACAGTCCCAAAAAACCCAAGGTGGAGGAGGATCACAACACAGCGTAAACAAAGAGGGGAAAGGGAGGAGAGAGGAGGGAAGAGAAAGAATGAAAGAGAAAAAGTGGTTATTTCACACCCATGCAGCATGCAGGGGAAATACGACTTCCATCTAAGCTCCACGAGTGCAGATAAAAAAAAAAAACATTAAACAACGCACTCATGGGGATAACACATTAAGTTCAATGAACTGAAATGAGACCATAAACTGCTACTGTTCCCCTGCTACAAGAATACCAGTGCAAATAAAGGCCACTTTGACGGGGCCAGTTTACAGGAAGTTATGTCTGGAAGGTGTAGTTTCCATTTGGTTTCCTGCATCCTCCATTTTCACCTTCAGCTTAGTTTAATTAAATCACATCAAATCACCACTAGACCATAAATCTGTCAATTCTACTTTGATCAGAAAATTATAGCGGTCTCCGCCCAGTTAGCTGAGCATCGCGACACAATGACATGCACAGGTCGCACAGTGATCGGACGAAAACAAAACAAAAAAACCACAGCAAATCATGTGTAGCAAATCTCTGTGCACGGCAGCTACGTCTGTAAAAAGACTAAATGTGATTTGTGTTTGCTTATGTAAATCTGTTGACAGTGGTATCTGCTCATTTAAATGAACATTTAATGATGCAGTTCCATCAGTGTCACGCTCCACCGGTCTGCTTGTAAACTGACTGACAATCTGCCAATTGGACTGCAGAAGAGAGTGAAGCGTGAATAATATTAGAGAAGTGAACGAGCACTTCAGTTCTGCACAAATAGGAAAACAACTCAGGAGGTACAGCTCAACAGATTTGCTAAAGATCCACACAAAACACTGCATTTTTTTTATGTTTTATGTAAACCCCCTTAAATCTAGGACAGCTACACAGCTGTTGTTTATTACCCGGGGTAGGCGGGGATGGCTGGCTGAGGCACAGCAGCCCTCATGGCGCTATAAACAGGCCGGCCTCGGCCCCTCAGGTGGGCACCGCGAAAAGCTGCGGCGGCTGCTGTTGTGGCAGCGGCTGCTGCTGCTGTAGGGTAGGGAAACCCTGGAACTGAGGGTGAGCAGGAGGAAAGATAAGAAATGAGAATGGCAAGTTTAAAAACAGAGACAACACTCCAGGCAGAAACAGATCAATGGGAAAAAAAACAGGGTTTGTTTGCTCAGTTAGATGATTTTTTATTTTATAAAATGTATTCTTTTCTTTTTTTTTAAACAAAACAATTCCATAAACAATAAAAAAAAAAATAATAATAATAAAAAGTCAGCAGAAGGAAGAAAAAAATCTTATTATACCTGCCCCTTTTTTTCCAAACAATTAATTCAAACTATAATAATCCTCAAGTAACAAAACAAAATAAATAACTCCTTTTTGAACGACTATTCATACAATACACATTAAGCTACTTCATTTTTTTATTTTTTTTTATTTTTTTAACAATTCAGCTTTGATCATTTTCTTAAATGTACACATTGACTTGACATTTTTCACATCACTCTCTAGACCATTCCACAATCCAACTCCTTGGATTGAGGTAGACCTTCCCTTCAGACTAGTTCTGAATTTTGGTTTGACAAATATCTCTATTCCCTTAAGATTATAACAACTTTCTCTTTTAACAAAATTTATTTGGATATTTAATGGTAATGTGTTATTTTGAGCCCTATAAATAACTGTAATACTGTATAATGTATACTATAATCTACGAAATCATGGAAATTCAGTAACTTCAGTTGATAAAATAAAGTGCTTGATGGGTGACAGTAATGCTTTCTGGTGATAATTCTTACAGCTCTTTTCTGTAAAACAAAAATAGGATTTGTAATTGTTTTACACGCTTACCCCCAAACATCAATACAACAGCTTACGTGTGGAACAATTATTGCGTTATGTAACATATACAGAGCTATATCATTTAATAACTCCCTTACTTTGTACAGTACTGCCATAGATTTAGCTATTTTTGTTTTTACATAATTTATGTGAGGTTTCCATGTCAGCTTTTCATCAATGATAACACCCAAGAATTTCACCTCACTAACTCTACAAATCTCAACACCCTCGATTTTAAATGGAACATCAACAGTTCTCTTTTTATTGTTGAATATCATATAATTAGTTTTATCTAAGTTTAATGATAATTTATTAAGTTTAAACCAAGTTTGTATTTTTACAAATTCTGTCTGCATCAACTCCAACATCCGTTCTATATAATAATAATAATAATAATAATAATAATAATAATAATAATAATAAGTCATCAATGTATGTTTCCATACAAAGGCGAAATTAGTCTGCATTTAACCCATCCACCACCAGGTGGTGCAGTGGGCAGCTATTGAAAGCGCTTGTGGGGTATTTTGGGGATGAGGTGTGCTGCCCAGAGACACCACGCCATATGCAGTGACCGGGGATCGAACCTGGGACTTTCGGGTCCCAAGCCGGCTGCCCTGCCTCTACATCATCTCAGCCCAACCCAAACAAAAAAAATGTGGTATCATCTGCAAATAGGACACATTTAAGGAGTCCTGACACATTTACCAAATCTTTCACATATAAAATAAATAACTTTGGTCCAAGTACAGAACCTTGAGGAACTCCAAATGTGATATTGCAGAGGTCAGATCTTACATCATTAATTTGTACAAACTGTTTCCTATCTTTCAAATAGCTAGATACCCACTGTAATGCTAGTCCTCTAATACCATATTTATTTAATTATTCAAGGAGAATAATGTGGTCATTAGTGTCAAATGCTTTCTTTAAATCAACAAAAACACAAACACAATATTGGTTTTGATCGACAGCAGTTATTCGTTTGAAATGCATGACAACATGACAAATGGAGCAAAACAGAGCAAAAACATTTTAAATTAAATGTGGAAAACAACTTGTTTTTAATACCTCCAAGAGCATGTGTCCCTAAACAACAGCAGTGTTTCTTCAGCAGTGTGTTCAGGCTCCTGCTGGAAGGTGAACCTCCATCTCAACCTCAAATCTCTATAAAACCCTCTACATTAACTCTGACCATTTTCTTAGTCTCTAATGATAAAAACATCCCGCTGCATGATGCTTCCACCACCGTGCTTCACTGTGGAGATGGTGTTCTCAGCACAATGAAAAGCATTAGGTTTGTGCTGGACATGACACTGTACTTGTTGACAAAAAAAACCATTTATTTTAGTCTCATCTGATCACAGCACCTTCTTTGAAGTGGTCTGCATTTTTATTTAAAGCATCATTATATTTCTACACTCTTCCAAGAGGCTGTGCAGCTTTTTGTTATGTAGTGAAATTCTACACTGTGCAGAAGAGCTGCCCAGCTCCATCAGGGTTCTTTCTACTACTTGCTTGCTTCTATGAGTAATGTCCTCCTTGCTGTTATTATGTGTGTAAAAAAGAAAAACGAGCCACACAACATGGATAAAATGACCTTTCCATTTTCTAATAAAGGATTTCATGATTCTCTGTGAAATATTTGTTTGGTTGTTTTTTACTTTTCCACAACTTTGTGCTGACTTGTGTGAAGAGTTCCTTGGTATTCATGCTGTTTCTTGCTTGATGGTATCCCTTACAACTTAGACTGGAGTTGATTCTGGGAGTTATTGCTCACAGGTGAATCTTTTCATTTCTATTTATGTGGACTCTGAAGGCATTGGCTGGGGCTTCAAGGTAAAGGGGGTGAATGCATGTGCATAGACCACGTTTGAATTTTATATTTCTTTAAAATGAAAAAAATAATTCCTTAATTTTCTTTATAAATTATATATATATATATATATTTGTTCCTTTAAATAGTTTTAAAAAAATCTAAATTCCACGTTGTCAGGCAAAAATAAAAAGAACATCAAGGGGTTGAAAACTGTTGCAATCTACTGTAAGTGGCTGAGATACTAAAACCCACAGAGAGCTTCATAATGTCACAACAAAAAGAGGAAAAATGTGGGATTATTGTAACTCACACTGAAATCACAATACGCAATAATATCCCGATGCATCCCTTTTTTAGAATACGCAATAATAACATTGCAACTGTTATTTTGTTCATCGTTCAGCCCCAATGCAAATATAACTGTAGTGTAGTCAGCAGACAGGTCTTACCTGCATAAAGTTCTGGTCCGTACACAGCACCCACCATGGGACTCAGTTTCCACCCTGCTGATAGTCAAACAGAAAAAGGAACCGATAAACGATGAATAGGAGCAGTTTTTATTTTTAACTAAGAATTATTCCAACTACAGTGGATTTTATCCCATTTTGTCTATTTAATTTTGTACTCTTTGTTCTGCGATTAATAATTTACCTTGAAAAACATTGTCATGCTTTTGCCAATACATTTTACTTTCATACGTTAGACTCGCTGAAGCTCAAACTCCACTTTTATGGCGACGGCATGTGAGTTAACCTGCACATTTCACGTGAGCAGCAGAGTCGATGAGTATTTTTTACCTGCAGCTGTCTCCCCCTGTACCTGTGCTGCTTGGCTATCAGACCAACTAGGGTTCATTGTTAGTGTGCGTCACTGCGGTTGTTACCATAGGGAAGCGTGCTGAGAGCCTCTCCGTTAGGGTAGGGGCTGACCATTTTCTTGTTAGTCATCACCCTGGCGGTGGCATTATTCACCTGAGGGTGGAGGAGCAGACAGTCAAGCGCGTAAACACAACAGAGAGGGAAAAGAATAGCAAAAAAATAAATAAAATGAAAATAAAAACTCAGAATGCAGGCAGAGGCTGTTGTATGCGTTTGTTTTTATGTAAACGATTTCATTAACACGTCTGCAGATGTGATGATGCATCATGTTTGTGGCACATTTTGGAAGCTGACTGCTGTATTTGCTGTGTCATTAAAGTGATTACTGGTGCCATCTAGAGTAATGGTCAACTCCATCGTGCAAACATCTAATTTTCATTTTCAATCACGGTGTTTGGTGAAGTCAACATTCATCATTTAGATCGAGAAGAATTAAGATGTTAAGGTAAATGCTGAAGTCATTGCAAACTTTAATAATATTTTATTTTTGGGGTTACTTTTCAGTTTGAATCTTTTTCGGCGAGAAGCTAAAATTTGCTACATCACACAACCAGAGTCAGAGCAGAGGAAAGCTCGTTATCTTTCTCTCGTTTCAACGATTCAAATGATGCTGCACTCTCTGATCCACGTTGGCGGGGAGTCGAAAACTGTCGGCTGTTTTTGTTTTGCTCTTAAGACAAAACTTTCAAAGATACATATATTAACTAACCTAAAAAACAACAAGCATGTACTACTCTGCTAGTACTTTTGTGTCTCATATTGTGACTAAGAAACCCAACTCTTTCCCCAGTTGGACATTTTAACTAGTAGAACAGTTCACCACGTCTTGTTATTAAATAGGAAACTATTTAAAAAAAATTAACCAAACTGCAGACAAGGGAATTTTAAGTGCCCGAGAATAAAACTACAAGTATTTTTTTTTAAAGTTTGCTGGGTTTTGTAAGTCATTTTATTAAAGTATTGTGTTTCAAGGATTATGTAGCATCGTGTGTGTAAGAAAGACACACACCTCGAAAAGAGAGAAGTCTAGTGTTTCATTGTTTCTAAATTAATCTGCAAAAAGCTCCAAGGACAGGACTGAAACATTTATATTTTAAACAAAGCAGGTCGCAGACATTTTATTAGCGCCTCTAGAAAGTCCTAAATTATTATAAATTATGCTTTTTAAACATCAAATGAAATATTTGAGCAATTATTTTGTTTTGAAAATTCCTGTATTTGCTAAAAATTAAAATCTGAACAGATTTAAGAGAAAATGTACCTCTGCAGAACAGAATGACTTGGGCTCAATTGGCTACATGTGTTTATTTAAAGGCTAATACTTATGTTTAATGTTTTAAAGTGAATAACAATAGTTAACTTTCAGTCCTCCAAGCTGCAGGGTAGAGGTTTGGAAACTCAATATAAAGAGATGTAAAATAGTGGTACAGAAAAGAAAACTGAGCTGTACATATTTTTGCATGTGCAGATGAATGTGTTAAGGGTTTTTAGGTGTGTGGGTACATTTTCTGTGCAATCTTGCTGACATTTCCGTCTAATGTTTAGGACTTTAGATCTAAGATGGCTTATAATTTTCTGTCTCAGCTTCAAAGGCTTCCACTCCGGTCCCGTGATCTATCCACATCTTCCTTTGATGGGCTTTAAGAGACGGAAACCGTAGCTCTGAAATAACCCACACTGGCTGAGTGCGCTGCTGAAGTTGCACATTTGACTGTTCGACAAGCTAAAGATTAACGACCTTTTGGCTAAAGATGAGGAGAGAGGGTGTGCTTGTGAGCGACAAAGAAGGAAAGAGTGAGAGGCTGAGGAATGAGAGTGCTTGTGAGCGTGTACGCTCTGCACTCCTGTTAGGGAACCATTAAAGCCTTGACTGTGGTTTGCATGGCCTCTCTCGGTGAGTCATGTTCTTTATCTGCAGAGTTTTATTCAAATGCAAATGAGGTTTACCTCATTTCTCTCTCGTTGCAGATGACAAGGTCAAAAATGACTCTATTAGTGTAGCCTATCTGACATTGTATCAAACTGATGTTAACATTTTTACAAGTTAAGTAAACTTTTATCTGCACATTGACACAATATTACTAATGGAGTTTAGCCTATGTTAATGGAAATTTACTATTTACATACATTATTATGTGTATTTCATGCTCAAATAATGAATTTGGGTTGAAATGAACACATGCAAATCAACAGAGATCAATATGAAAGGCAAATCTCAAGGTGTTAATGTTTTAAAAAAAATAAAACGTTCATCCTTTCTCATCCCACTTTTGCCCTCCCAATCCAGCCTGGATGATGAACCCAGACTAAATTAACCACATTTCCATATGAAACCAAACTTGTGGGGTTTACGTACCTAAAAGAATAGTATTTTTCAAAGAAAATACAACAGAGAGGGAGAGAAAGAGGGGGTGCAAAAACATTTGATTGACAAAATTATTAATCATATAATAACAAAGAAATTATATACAGCCATATACAGGCGCATCACACGACCAAGAGTGAGTTACAAACCGAAATAAATAATAAATAATTCAGCCAATCAGCAAGCATCAGATGCAGCATTGCGACCAATCAAAAAACAATCGTAGCACTCCCACATCAAACACATAAGAGACAAAGATGAGACAGGTAGGTTATGCATAAGGGATGCAGGTGAGAAGAAAAAAGAGACAGAGCCAGTCCATATTCAAAAACCAAAAAATAAAAACAGGGGTGAAAAGTAACCAAACAGGAAAAAAAAAAAAAAACCTAACATAAGCAACACAAATAAACTTATAATTACTGTTTAAAACAAAACAAAATATACCAAGGTGCATCATTCAAATAAAGCAATTAGATTTGGTGACCATTCTCCTGAAAATCTCATTATGTGTGGTGGGTTGAGAAACAGAGCACCAAAGGATGGAGGGAACAGAGACAGAGAGATCCAGAGGGGGAGAGAAAGATACAGGACTGAGAGAGAGAGGGAGAGGGGGGGGGGGGGGAGCAGTCCTCATTCCCAAAAAAGGAAAGAAACAAAATAAACATGAGACACTATGCCAGGCATTGAAACTGTGTCACAAACTAAGACCAGTTCACTACAACTACCACTACTAATACACATGACAGTCCACTACAAGGAAACCAAACCAAAAGAAATCAAAAGAATGGCAGCATAATAAGAGACCCCAAAACAGCGAGGTAAACCCCATATCGGTTTAGAAATGCATATGGTAACAAAGAACTGGCTGATTTGGTGAGTGACTAGAAGCCAGTTACACCAGCTGTTCTGCTATTGTTTCTGTAGGTTTTTTTTATTGTTTAGGTTTTTTTGGGAGTGATGAAATTCAAAGGGTTGCACCACAAATCTTCCTGCTTCTAAAGCTGACAAAATAAATGGGCATAACAACTACAGACTAATTCAACACACTTTTTAAAGCATGATTTATATATTTTAACATAAGGATTATGGTTTAACGTACTAAACACCCCAATAAATTATGGTATTTTTTTCCTGAGGTTTTTTTTTTTTTTTTTTACCAAAAAAGGTGACAATTAACGTCCCAGTTAGTTTCAGTGATCATGAACTATAAATGGCACTTTCCAAAAAAGGATGCAAGTGCTTCAGCTGAGGAGTGAGGGCTCCTCCCTCTCACCAAAATACGTTCCCTGCTGTTTCCAGAAGGGAAAAATGGCCTAAGTAGTTGACTAAAAAAGGGGTGATAGTACAGCTGCAGTGGCATTTATCTTTTTTTTAATTTTGTTTGGAATTAATAATCAGAAAACACCCAGACATGCGTCATGCTGAACTTGTTATGTAACTTAGCTGCTTGCCAAAACTAGCAATGGCTTAGTTTAGCATTGGCTTTATGTTTATGGATAATCATACATACATTAACAATATCTGCTCCATCATTTATGGCATGTGAACAGTAACAACAACCAGGCAAGCCTATATTTAAATCTAATGCCTCTATTGTGAAACCAAACAACAAACTTGGATTTAAGCTTGACAAAAAAATCAAGTTAAGACCCCGAAGGAATGATTAGATTTGGACGTATTTTGGGCCACATGCAGACCAGTGATGGCGGTGTAAATGGTTTGATGTGCACTGAGCTGGTATGTCTAGAACAGGCACTAGAGGCATAGGTGGTGCCATCATGAAAGGAGGAATGGTGGTATGAGGCAGTTTCTGAACAGTCAGTCGAAACAGGGAGTGAAGGACAGCAGACACAGAGGATGCCTCATAGACACGTTGGACACCGTAAAGGCTGCATTGTGGGTTTGCATGAGGAACTTACAGATTGGCACAATACACAAAGCCATCCACATCTGTTAGTCCAAAACAGACCATAACAAGGAAGGATTAAGGCATTACAGAAGCCCATGACATCTGCACCTGCCATGTGGACACAGGTCGTGAACTCTTTACAGCACCCTGTCTTGATGTCAGGGATCAAACTGACTGCAGGTTCACTGCCCCATGCATAGGCCGCCATTAACACCAGAACAGAGACAACTGAGTTCATAGTAGTGCTGTAACCAGGAGGCATGGTCTGATGAGTGGCATTGCACAATGTTAAGCATTGGATTTCTGTTCAGGTTTACCATAAATGACTATCATGTGTGCATATGGCAGTGCTGAGAGGACCAATCCTGCAAATGTTGTGGAGACGCATGCCGTTGTTAGTTCTGCTATAACGGAGGGGGGAGCTATAGCGTAAGACTTCAGGTAAACTCTAGTGGTGATTCGGGTGAATGTGATATCACAGACATCCTGCGTCCTCAACATGTCTTACCCTTCTTGAAATAGCACTCTGGTAAAGTCGTTAAAAAAATAATTATAACACCCATCTGCACACAACACATGTGTCTATGGACTGCCTGTGTTATGTTGAGATCTCCCAGATCTTTTCCCATTCAAATATGTGAGATTAGCTCAGACAACTCCATCCCAGTGCTGATCTTAAGGGCCAGTTACAATAACTGAGGGCCAGCTCGCTGCAGAAAAGGGTACAATACGACTCCATTCCACACCAAATCAACACTTGTACCCAGGCCTGAGGGGATGTCACATCCTACTGATCTGAAACTGTAGTGATTGTAACTC